TGTGCAAAGAGAGTGGCACTCTCTTTACACGAGTCATCGGATTTAACGTCCCCATTCTGACCGGACGTGGCTGCAAATTTGTACATCCCGCACAGCCAAACGGACGCCCCACTTTGGCACGGGTTTCACTGCCGGTCGGAGGAAGACCAATGGTGACCATACTTCTATTCCCCAGTCACCCTTGGGGGTTACAAACATCAGATTAGTGCGACCAAGAAGGTAAAAATTACGGACGCATAACAGCCAATTTATATGTTGTATAACCCAACAACCCTCTAGGCAGTCGCCAAATAAGTTCAAAGATTGTGTTGGCTAGAAACTTAGGGTGTGGAAATATACTAAGGCAAATGCGTATTCCAGAGAAAGTTTATTAATCTTTATTATATCCAGTGAACACAGTAAACACAGTGATATATTCTAATAAAGTTCAATACATCATAACGTTCCATATTTAATTCCTCAATACGAATACGTTCCATACAAATACGTCATACTCTAAATACGGTAAATACGATTTACTGAAAAGAAAACAGAAAAATACTGTCATTCACTTGAATAATAAAAGTTCAAAACATGCAAAATACATGTTATCCAGAGAACAATAAACAAATGTATATATACCAAAAATTGTAAACATCTTGTTTTACCCAGTGAAAATACATAAAAACAATATTAACCACAAATCAATGAAACATCATTGACACAAAAGTCTAACTATCGATTCGCACTTTACAACCTGTGAAATATCTATTTATAGAAATACAACATGCGTCTGAGAGGACTTTGACAATTATATTCACTGAATAAAGTTCTTAAATTATGCAATACAACTCAGACAAGTTACGGAAGGTTTATACAATAATTTCAATACAAAAAAACTCACCAAATTAGAAATATTTCCACAAAATTTCAACACAGATTTTGTCAAGTTATTGGCGTCATTTTCATTCGGAACTCTCTAATAATCACTGTACATGAATAGTGAATCGACAAAAAATATGTTTATGAAATTGACATTACATACCAGCTCCCTAATTGTATAGCCAGTGCGGAACAATTACACCGAAATCAGCAATAAAAAATATGCATCTCAACAAAATAAGCAAAATTATGTAACAATAGTGTTCATAACGTTTGAGTTCACTTTCTACAACTAACTAAAGTTCTTGGACTAATATTAGATTGACAAGATAAATGTTAATCAAGTTCTAAAAGAGTACACAATTTATCTACCGGACGAGTAAGTACATTGTTTCCGATCTTTACTTTCACTTGACGCACGAGTCCGTTGCGGTCTGGAATTATTTCATTAATCCGCCCCATGGGCCATGAATTTCTCGGAGCATTTGAGTCAACCACAATCACAATGTCCCCAACCATTAAATTTCTCCTCTGTTTATGCCATTTCTGACGTTCTTGTAACATGGGAAGGTACTCTCGAACCCAACGACTCCAGAATAGATTTGCAATGTACTGAATTTGTCTCCATTTTCGACGGCAATAATTGTCTGTTTTACTGAATAGTCCAGGAGGTAAGTACGCTTTGCGTTTCATAAGCAACAGATGATTTGGCGTCAGCGCTTCCAAATCACTTGGGTCATCTGAATTCATCGTAATCGGTCTACTATTGAGAGTTGATTCTATCTCACAAAAAACTGTATTCAGACCGTCATCGTCTAAAACTTGTTCTCTAATAACACTATTCATTGTCTTGCGTACACTTCTGATCAACCTCTCCCATACACCTCCGAAATGCGAACCTGCCGGAGGATTATACTGCCAATCTATGTTCTTTTGTAGCATCGCACTCTCAATCTGATTCAAATTCCATTCACTTAATGCGCTCTTAAGTTCGCGCTCTGCGCCAACGAAGTTCGTGCCGTTGTCAGATCTGATCTTTTCTACTTGACCACGACGAGCAATGAATCGTCGTAAAACGTTAATATATGAACTAGTATCTAAAGATGCAGCTACCTCCAAGTGAATAGCTCTACTAGACAGGCAAGTAAAAATCGCACCATAGCGTTTGATACGACATCTACGTTGTTTTACTTCGAAAGGACCAAAATAATCTACTCCTAGGTGGTTCATCCGGCGTAATACGATCTGATGGCAAATTAGCCATCTTTTGTTCACCTACGGGCGCACTTAAGCGACGACACACAACACATTTTGATATCAATTTTCTCACAGCTGAGGGTGCATTTATCAACCAATAAGTTTCACGAAGGTGAGCTAGCAAATGATTTCTACCACTGTGTTGTAAATCAATGTGTATTTGTCTAAGAATCAATTCAGAGATGTGGTGACCCTTTGGTAATATAATCGGATGTTTACAGTTTTCCGGCATTTTTGACTCTATTAAACGTCCTCCTACACGTAAAAGATCGCCATCTAAAACTGGGTCGAGTTTCCGGATATTACTTGTAGCCTTGACTATTCGGTTACTGGAAAGAGTGTTAATCTCATCAGTGAATTCGTGTCTCTGCACATAAACAAGAATTGAATGTTCGGCGTCTTTTAAATCCTGAAATGATATTCGTTTAGTACAATCTTTCGAATCCGATTCTTTAACGAGTGTCATTTTGTTATCTTGTTTCTTATTACTGACACGTCTAAGTAACTCCTTACGAACTTTAAGTATCCACGCTACACTTCGCTTTAACGACATCCAAGATGAGTAATACGCGATAAGTTTCTCGACTCCCAAAGAATTGTCGTCTGGAATTTCGGTTTTAATGATTGTTCGCACAGTTGCTTGTTTAACTTCAGGGTCGTTTGCACATATTGTCCCATGATTTTCTGACGATGGCTTCGGCCAAAAGTCCTCATCTTTCCATAGAAAGTCAGGTGCAACGATCCAATTACGTTTTTTCATTTCAGAAGAAGTAAGACCCCTTGAAGCATGGTCTGCTGGATTAAGCTTGGTGTTCACATAACGCCAATTATCGGTAAAAGAACCTTCATGAGTCTATTTGCTACAAAAGTCTGAAATCTAGCATCTTCATTCAAGATGTATCGTAGAACTGACATACTGTCCGTCCAAAATATAGACCGATCAATTGGTATTTCTAACTCATTTAACAACATTTTGTTCGTACGGACGGCCACAGTAGCAGCAGTTAGTTCAAGTCGTGGGACTGTTATCGTCTTCAGTGGTGTTACGCGTGCTTTTCCCATCACAAATGAACAATGAATTTCACCGAAAGCATTTTCTAAACGAAGATATGTAACAGTACCGTATCCGCTTTCGCTTGCGTCTAAGAAATGATGTAACTGAGCATTCTTTATTTCTCCATATTTTTCTGGTCGTAAGCACCTATCTACTTTGAAATCTGAAAGTTCATGTAAATCTTGGAACCATAACGAAAACAAAGATTCTAATTTCGGTGCAATTGGGTCATCCCAATCCAGGCGAAGCCTACACAATTCTTGAAGTATCATCTTAGCACGAAGAACAAATGGTGCAAGAAATCCTAAGGGGTCGTAAACGCTACTAACCATCGACAAAATGCCTCTTCTAGTTTTAGGTTGTTCCTTTACTGAAATTTTGAAACGAAAAGTATCTGTTTCAGCGCACCATTGAATGCCCAATGCCCTATCGATGGGAAGTGTATCTTGATCCAAGTCTAAGTCCTTGATATCAACCGCCATATCCGAAATTGGTATTGATCGCATTACTTCTCTGTTATTACTGATCCATTTCGCGATCCTAAATCCACCACGACTCAAAAGAGACTGTAGATCTTGAACTAAGCACACCGCTTCACTAACGTTTTTTGTAGACTTGAGACAATCATCGACGTAGAAATTACGTAGCACAGTGTTTATTACTTCTTCATTAAACTGTCCGTTACAATCTTCGGTAGTTTTTCTAAGTGCAAAGTTCACGCAGCTAGGCGAAGATGTCGCGCCAAATAGATGAACATTCATTTGATATTCTGTTGGTTTCTTTCGAGAGTCTCCACCTTGCCACCACAAAAATCGAAGATAATTCGCATCTTCAGACGGTACGCGCACCTGGTGAAACATGCTGTCTATATCGCCCATTATTGCGATTTCATCTTGTCTAAACCTTATCAAAGTTCCAATTAAAGTATTTGTCAGATTAGGACCCTGAAGTAATCGCTCGTTCAGGGATGTACCTTGAAATTTAGCCGCACAATCAAACACGACTCTTATTTTCTTCTTTCTAGGGTGGAAAACTCCATGATGAGGCAAAAACCACACATCATTGTCTTTCTTCGCTAAGTCGTCAATGGAAACCTCTGTAGCGAATCCATCGCCGATAACCTTGTTCATAAAGGTAACATACTCATCACGGAATGTTTCGTCTCTTTTAAAACGTCTAGAAAGTAGCATTAATCTCTGTTCCGCTTGTCGCCTGTTATTCGGCATTTTGTTATCCTTTGACTTGAACGGTAAATTCACGACGTAATGTCCGTCTTTTAACATAATTGACTTCGAAACAAGTTCTAAAAATCTACGGTCCTCCTTCGAAGGAGTAACAACATCGTCGATTGTTTTCTCATTGAAGTCATGGTTGAACTGATTCCTAATTTGATCTTCCAGCGGAACACTTGTAGCGTCGATACGGTTACAAGAAGCGACCTTGCATGGCTTATCATCAGTAGACACGTTTAAAGGGCCATTGATTACCCAACCTAGCAAAGTTTCTACAGCAAATGGACCATTTCCTATACTTGGAACAACATTCCACGGTTCCATAGCTTTTGGTACATTGATTCCGATTAACAAACCAATGTGATCACTTTCGATCCTTTGTAATGGTATATCTCGTAAATGTGACCACTTCTGAATATTCTCAATAAAAACTATGTCATTACTAGTAACTGGTAGAGTTTCCTGCGAAAATACCGGTGGTAGACTAATTACATCATTACCGCACAAGTTGCTGATTTCCAAACCTGTGACCACATAGCAATCATGGACGGCACTTTGTCCCATAGTAACCAAACTGAGTTTCGTTTTCTTACCTTCTATATTAAGGCTACGAATAATGTTTTCTGTGCAGAAAGTTGCAGTACTGCCTGTATCAAGAAAAGCATAAGTCTCAATGTAATTGTCACTGTTAATTGATTTTACCCTGACTGGCAATATCGGCAGCGCCTGGCGAAGGCTATTTCCAGCTCCCATAAACGTAGTAGAGTTCTTAACTTCCGGACACTGATCGCTTTCTGACTGCTGACTAGTTTGACTCTGATCTCGAGGTTTAACATGCAATATAGACGGATGTTCCTTTCGACATACTGTACAGGACGATTTCTGACGACATGACATTTTCTGGTGTCCGTACTTCAAACATGAGAAACATACGCCCTTCGATTTAAGAAATGTATATCTATCTTTCAGCGACTGTTTTATGATTTTGTCACACTTGTTCAGAGAATGAGTTGCGTTTTCACAATAGATACACGGCTTAGAAAATGCATTTCTGTATCGAGCAGACGATGTTTCATTTTGCTGACCTACACTAGATGTACTTGCCTTGGGTTCAGAAGTTACAGTTACAGCTGTTTTAGATCCTTGAGATCTAGATTTCATGTTATTTTCTTGTAATCTTTTCACATTTTTTCCTATTTGTGTGTTTAAAACGTCTTTGCCGTAAACAGGATCGTTTGCCTTTTTAGCTTCTTTTTTCACAAATTCTACTAAATGACTGAATGTAACGATATTTTTGCGGCTTTTTGTCTCGTATACTACATTCCTCCACTTTTCTTGCATATAAAATGGAAGTTTCTGTATCAAGAGTTTTAAATTTTCTGAATACTCTAACACTTTTGCCGCATCTACATAATTTACGGCGTACATGCACTCTTGCAAGAATATTGCAAAGTCATCTAGGGCTTTTGGGTTATCTGCCTTTATAAAGGGCCAATTCATTGCACGCTGTACGTATGAATGTGCTATTATGTCGGGGTCGCCGTACCTGTCTTTGAACTCGTTCAAAGCAGCTGTATACCCTATTTCAGCGTCCAAGTGCGAGAAACCAAGAACTATTCTATGCGGTTCGCCGATTGTAAATTGTAGCAAGAAGTTAATTCGTTCTTCGAAAGAATCAGTGTTTGTTTCAACACGTGCATTAAATTGTCTTATAAATCCCTTATAGTTCATAGGGCTGCCATCAAATTTCTGTATATCAGCCTTTGGCTTATTAAGCTCACGAGCAATTGAATATTGCGCATTGTAATCAATAATATTGTTCTTTGCTTCAACATGAGGGGGTTTATCGTCATCTTGTTCACTTTGAAATGTTTTGCGTGTTCTTTTAGTTTCAAACGCTAACCGTTCCTTTTTTACTTCCGGAATGAATGCCGGAACGGTAGGGTTCAATAGCGAATTTTCAGTATCTTTTTGTGAATTGTCAACTTTATCGCACTGTTTATCTTTGACCATAATTTGCTCAAGTTGCTGGTCCTCTAACATGCTTCTTTCTAATTCTTCTATCACTCGTGTTTTTGCGTCAGTTACTTGTAACTCCGTTTTAATTTCAAGTGCCTCTTCTTTAAATCTTAACTTTAATTTTTCTTCTTCGATAAATTTCTTTTCTTCAAGAGACTTTTCACGTGCTAAAAGTTCAGCCTTCCGCTGCTCTTCTTTAAGTTTTGCCATGGATATTTGACTTGAAACGGAACTGCTTCTAGAACTCCCGGATCTAGAACTTCTATGAGATTTTACGGACCGAGCTGGCTTCTGACTGTTAACGGAAAACCACTGCTGTGCAGATTGTTTTGAAGAGATAAATTTATCATGTCTTTCTTGAAACCATGCATCGTCAAGTTGTTTTTCACTAGGATTTTCAGTAAGCTTTTGATATTGATCATGAATATTTAATAGTTCCTCATATTCAGACAACCACTTAGAATATGTAGGTTTAACTTCATTTGGGTCTGTTGAACGTTGCATCAAAGTTTGTAAATCATTACTTGTAACAGTTAAAACCTTAATCAATCTTGATCGTTCAGCCTGTTTCAAAGTCAATGTATACTCTAGTCCCTTTTCAGTAAGTGTTCTCTCACGTTTTTCATCCACAATATCTTGTTTGTCATCCATCTTAGACTATAAAGAGTTCTAATTTGTAAATAATGTGTTGGCTAGAAACTTAGGGTGTGGAAATATACTAAGGCAAATGCGTATTCCAGAGAAAGTTTATTAATCTTTATTATATCCAGTGAACACAGTAAACACAGTGATATATTCTAATAAAGTTCAATACATCATAACGTTCCATATTTAATTCCTCAATACGAATACGTTCCATACAAATACGTCATACTCTAAATACGGTAAATACGATTTACTGAAAAGAAAACAGAAAAATACTGTCATTCACTTGAATAATAAAAGTTCAAAACATGCAAAATACATGTTATCCAGAGAACAATAAACAAATGTATATATACCAAAAATTGTAAACATCTTGTTTTACCCAGTGAAAATACATAAAAACAATATTAACCACAAATCAATGAAACATCATTGACACAAAAGTCTAACTATCGATTCGCACTTTACAACCTGTGAAATATCTATTTATAGAAATACAACATGCGTCTGAGAGGACTTTGACAATTATATTCACTGAATAAAGTTCTTAAATTATGCAATACAACTCAGACAAGTTACGGAAGGTTTATACAATAATTTCAATACAAAAAACTCACCAAATTAGAAATATTTCCACAAAATTTCAACACAGATTTTGTCAAGTTATTGGCGTCATTTTCATTCGGAACTCTCTAATAATCACTGTACATGAATAGTGAATCGACAAAAAATATGTTTATGAAATTGACATTACAAAGATTATAAGGCGAAACTAGATGGGCATATAAAGAAATATGCTCAACAAAAAGCAGAAGCTAGAACTAGGATTCTATGACTTGGAACAGCTGGGGTTAACAAACCCTTATAAGTCTAGAACCGTTCGAAAATTCAACTAGAGGCTCTAAAGAGCCTGTGTCGCTCACCTTGGTATATGTGCATATTAAACAAAGGACACAGATGGATTCATGACAAAATTGTGTTTTGGTGATGGTGATGTGTTTGTAGATCTTACTTTACTGAACATTCTTGCTGCTTACAATAATCTCTATCTATAATGAACTTGGCCCAGTAGTTACAGTGGAAAATATTTTGTAAAAATTTACAAAATTTATGAAAATTGTAATAAATTGACTATAAAGTGCAATAACTCCTTAAGGGGTCAAATGACAATTTTGGTCATGTTGACTTATTTGTAGATCTTACTTTGCTGTACATTATAGCTGTTTACAGTTTATCTCTATCTATAATAATATTCAAGATAATAACCAAAAGCTGCAAAATTTTCTTAAAATTACCAATTCAGGGGCAGCAACCCAACATATAGATCTTGACCTAATGAACAATTTTATCCTTGTCAGATTTGCTCTAAATGCTTTGGTTTCAGAGATATGAGCCAAAAACTGACTTTTTCCCTATGTACTATTTTTTAGCCATGTCGGCCATCTTGGTTCGCGGGCGAGGTCATCGGACACATTTTTTAAAATAGATACCCTAATGATGATTGTGGACAAGTTTGGTTAAATTTGTCTTAGTAGTTTCAGAGGAGAAGATTTTGGAAAAGATTACAAAAATTTACGAAAAATGGTTAAAAATTGACTATAAAGGGCATTAACTCCTTAAGGGGTCAACTGACCATTTTGGTCAAGTTGACTTATTTGTAGATCTTACTTTGCTGAACATTATTGATGTTTACAGTTTATCTCTATCTATAATAATATTCAAGATAAAAACCAAAAACGGCATAATTTCCTTAAAATTACCAATTCAGGGGCAGCAACCCAACAACGGGTTGTCAGATTCATCTGAAAATTTCAGTGCAGATAGATCTTGACTTGATAAACAATTCTACCCCATGTCAGATTTGCTCTAAATGCTTTGGTTTCAGAGATGTAAGCCAAAATCTACATTTTACCCCTATGTTCTATTTTTAGCCATGGCGGTCATCTTGGTTGGTTGGGCGGGTCACCGGACACATTTTTTAAACTAGATACCCCAATGATGATTGTGGCCAAGTTTGGACCTGAGATCACTCCAAGTTTTTGGTGGGGTTCGTGTTGCTTTGTCTTTAGTTTTCTATGTTGTGTTTTGTGTACTATTGTTTGTCTTTTTCCTTTTTTAGCCATAGCGTTGTCAGTTCATTTTCGATTTATGAGTTTGAATGTCCCTCTTGTATCTTTCGCACCTCTTTTTTTATGAAAATATCTCATAATTACATTAAGCTGTACCAACTGCACCAATTTGCTCAAATTAAACTGATATTTTCAATGGAATATAATGGGCCACTAGAAGGAAAGCCTTTCATTTAATCAACATAATTAAACATGACTAATATTAAAACAAAATAATAAATAAACTTATGTTTATTTTAAATGTATATCTTTTCATGGTCACATGCATTTTTTACCTCATCCACTGGCTGTGGCCGTGGATATTCACAACAATTCTCGTTTGACCTCTTCTCTTCTTTAAAAAACCGGATTTCTCACTATGTCAAATTCATTAATATGTTTTAACGTTTGCAGTGTCCATATCTGTTTTGAACTCCTTCTCCACATGTCTTATTTTAGTAAAAGTAACAATTATGAATTGAAATATTCAAAAAAATTCTTGGTGGATGTGGAATATTAGATGGGACTGTCGTTAGATTGATTGATTGTTGGTTGCTTAACGTCCAGTGGCAAATATTTCATGCATATTCAGGACGAGAACAAGTTCACAATAAATACAATGGGTAGGATCTGTAATAGATTAAGGGATTAAGGTCGGAGAAATTTAGACTGCCACGGGAAATGAGGGTATATTGGATAGGGACAGAAATTTAGCCTTGCAACAGGTCACCTACGGACCCCTCAAAGAGTTGTTGCAAGGGTTCTTAACGTGCAAAGAGCGTGGCACTCTCTATACACGAGGCATCGGATTTAACGTCCCCATTCTGACCGGACGTGGCTGCAAATTTGTACATCCCGCACAGCCAAACGGACGCCCCACTTTAGCACGGGTTTTACTGCCGGTCGGAGGAAGACCAATGGTGACCATACTTCTATACCCCAGTCACCCTTGGGGTCGACTGTCGTTAGAATCTACATTCTTATTTCGATTGTTGTATCGGGTAGGACAACCATTGACTGTGCTTCCATAGACGTTGCATATAATTAGGGAAATAGTTCGGTACATTGTCTTCATAAAACGCTTGCAAAACATCCATTACATGGAAAAGTAAATATATATTAAGTGAATATTGTCAAAATGAAATGTAATTATTTCATTTCATATATTGCAAACCATCAACAGCAATAAAAACTAGCTATGCTGCTATTTAATTTAAGGCAGTCACTTAAGGTAAAGTTTCCCCCAAAGGTGAAAGGGTAATAGATATATGATCACTACAGGTCTTTTTTCCTTGCTAAAATGGGGCGTCCGTTTGGCTGTGCGGGATGTAATTAGTACGCAGCAACGTCCAGTCAGAATGGGGACGTTAAATCCGATGCCTCGTGTACAGGGAGTGCCACGCTAAGAACTATTGCAATAAGTAACATATTCCTACAAATTATCCTTGGCATATACCCATCAATCATTTAGCCTAATAATTACGTAGTCATTTGACTTTCTGTCAGCTCACACACGGCCTGGCCTCGCCGGTAAATGGAAATAATTGTGTTGTCGTTGGTACGTTCAAATTAAGGAATATCGATAAAAGTACAAGTAACCAGCAATCTGTTAGATAGTAATCATGAAGTCATACTTTCTCAATGATGCACTAATTATAACCAGACGTTGACTCATTAAACTGCAGCTATCTTTATCAGAATAGCTTTTGAAACCTAAGAATTGGTGGAATTGATTTTACCATACACGGCCACACAGATAAATTAAAATAATTTTGTTGTCATCAGTACGTTCAAATTAAAGACTATCGATAAATAAAAGTATAAGAAATAGAGCCGCAACATGATACAAGTCCAGATTTACTAACATATTTTGCTACAAATTAATCTTGGCATGTAACCAGCAATCTGTTAGATATTAATTATGTAGTCATACTTTCTCAATGATTCACTAATTATAACTAGGCGTTGACTTAGTAAAATGCAACCATCTACATCTTTATCTACGATATGTCGTCACTCGAAAAGGGTACTTTGACCAATCACCCAAGTATACATTTAACTTTGACGTCCTCCAACATGACAAAAAACTTTCTATATAACATTTACTAACAATAGTTCCAAATTGTGCCCAAAATTTATGTACAGGTGCAGGTTAAAAACATCCATCTATCTTTTGTTTGTGCTTATTAGCCACTACAGAGAAGCTTGGTGAGTTTGGTCTTGAATTCCTCACTGCTCTCAATCTCTAATAGTTCGTATGGTAGTGTATTCCAGTCTCTGATGGTCCTCGGTAAAAAAGCTGTATTTGTAAATGTCTTTGTTAAGCCTGATTTGTACATATCTTTTTGTGTTCGGTTGATGGTGTCAACGTATATTTGTCCCTAATAATATTTGTTCCTGAGGGAAACAATATTATAATAATATTTGTTCTGCGGAAATTCTGTCATGGAATACTTTTTCCATCTGTATTATATTTGTTCCACTGATATTAGGAACTTATCTTATATGTTGATGAGTATAACAAATGTTCCTATTATGCTGAAGTTTAGTTTACACCTGATTGATTATTATCTAAATCAAAACAGGTTTTAAATGCTGATTATATGATTATTATGTAAATTGAAAATGTGTTAATGAGTTAGATATATTCACCTGTACACAACACCTGAATGTATAAACATGGAGGCTGATGAGTACGAGAAAATATTTATGTTCCTAAATGATGTTACTTATGTTGAAGGTAAGTAATTATGTTAACAAGTTCAGCTGTGAAATATAAATGTTAATTATAATGAGACAAATATCATTTAAATGTAAAATATGCATGCCAGTAATTATGGATAATTTGAAATGATTATTTAATGTCTACAACATTGGGAACAATTATTTTTGGGTTGGAAAATATATTATATAATACTTTTTCCAATCGGAATAAATATTATTGATTGATTGATTGTTGGTTGCTTTACGCCGCATTAGCACAACAAGGCTATATCGCGGCGAGAGCTAATTCGAATATTTTTTACAATTTAAAGCATATTCTTAAATTCAGACAAAATGTCCTTCAATAAACTAAAATTCTAGATTAAAGCAAATTGATTATTTACAAATAAAAATGAACATTAAGATAACGTGATAAAATTTAAAATCGTTTTAAATATAATAACATTTTTATATTTTAGAATATATTCCAACTTCTTTTAAAAATGAAACAATATTTGTAAATGAAACATTATTAAATAAATCATACATATTATTGACATTGAAATGCTTCTTACGAATATCAGCAAAGTCAATACAATTGATTAAAACATGTTTAATAGTATACTTGCAGTTACAAGGTATACATTGTGGTTCTACTTCATTTTTTAAAAGATATTCGTGTGTTATTCTAGTATGACCAATACGACATCTAGAAACAACACACTGATCTTTTCTGCACATAAAATTATTGAAAGGTTTACATAAATTAGGTTTAATTTCATGTAATTTATTACCATCTTTTTTACTCCATTCATTTTTCAATATATTAAAAACATATTCTCTAATATTAGATTTAAAATCGGTATATGGTATATCACAGTTAGATAAAGGGTCACCCAGGGCATTCTTTGCCTCAAGGTCTACAGCTGTGTTTCCAA